CACACACACACACACACACACACACACACACACACACACACACACATGTACACACAAACACACACACACACACAGGCAGAGAAGCAAAAACACAAGACTGCAGACATTCTTACTAGGAATGATCCAAACATAAACTCAGAGCCAAAAGCAACACTTCAACTGAAATATGTCATCATTTAATGTTCATTTACCCAAACGTAATTCAGAAACTTACATGTGACATTAAGTTAGTCATTAAATGCTTAAATATATCAAATAAAATCAAACCTGACCTGCACATTGCATCCTGTGGTCAGACAGTATTTGGCAAAGATTCAGTGTGTTTACCCTGATCAGATAAATGTTTACCACAGTTTAAGTTGACTGGTAAAGGTCCACAAGTCTGCACGAACTCACTGCACAGACCAGAACGGATCAAGTTCCAGGTACTTAAAATGACAAATGTTCAAGTAAAGTGTTGCATCAGTCTGAACTGGAACAAAACATCAAAGCTACAGTAATTATTAATGCACTGTAAACAAATAAATACGTTTATATTTTAAAAAATCCTTCAGAAAAAGACTAAATCTGACCATTTGAAAGCAGATCAGCACCAGAGCTGACCGAATGAAGCAGAGGTATCTGTGTGTTTGTTTGTTTGTTTATTGTTTGGTTTACTGCTTGAGGATGTTTAAGTTTAACGAGCTGCACTGCACATACCAGACTCAGCGCCTTCTTTTTAATATCACACAACTGCATCTGAAGAATACCAAACAAGTACCACACTAACACATGAAGCAGTTGTTGCATTCGTTTGTTTGCATCACAACTCGCTCAACTCAACGTACGCTTATACGGAAAAACAAAATTGGTCAACATCTAGTGTTCACTGGCAACTCTGCTTCCAGGTATATTCCGTTTTGGCCATGGCATTTGTCTTTTTGATATAAACCATTAAAAATGGCTCGTGCTCAATGGTTAGACTATCATGAAACTAAAGCACATTCTGTCAAGCAAGAATAGAAAAGTTTGTAAAGTATATACAGTACGTGTTGGGGTGGGGTTATAACATATTTTTAAATGGAATAGACATAAACAATTCTGAATCAATTAAAAAAATGTCAAATATTGTTTATTTTTTAACATCAATAAAGTCAAAATCCCTCTAAAGTGTGGAAATTCAATGCTCGGGCAGGTCACGGCGGGCACACAACGGAGACATTACCAAGACATACAAGTGGCATCTTATACAATTAGCCGGTGTTTGAAAGCACTTCTGCTTCAGTGAGGTTAAAGGGAACACGACGTCAACAAGAGCCACACTTTGTGCAAGATGTGCACACGTTTCCACCCGCACGTGAAAAAAAAACAGCTGGTGGGGGTTCATTTCAAAAGTGCAGTCTAGATTCAATGATAAACATGATGGAGGCTGCCAAGGAGGGTACAATGTGAGCTCAGGTGGCGAGGATGTGGGTGAAGGTGAGCAACGAAAAAATGTAACTGACCTAAACTACAGTTTTGTAAGCTGCGTACACAAAATTAGGCCATGTTTTTAAAATATAGCTGTGCAAAATATGACTCGCTGGTCGCAGAGAGACTGCAACTGAAAATTCATGTTTTATCATAAGTTTTTCTTAATTCTGAGACGTTATCTACTCTGCAACTGTTGCACCACCTTTATGCTGCACCCTTTGAAGCTATGATGGGACATGAGCATCCTGCGTGAAAAAAATGTGGAAATAAAGCCATTCCAACACCCTGCAGTGGGACCAGTAACAAAGTTGTGGAAACACTGAAAAAAGTGGGTACAATAGCTCTAATGCAGGAAGCAGGGGCAAAGATTTCTACAGTCATGTGTCAAGGTTCTCCGAATTTCACATTTTTGGTTGAGCATTGTTCAGAAAATTGTGTTTAAAAAACAATATTTTAATTTTATTTAGGTTTGATAGACTATGAGTTTATTAACAGGAGTGATAATGGATGCATTGATGTTTGTTTTATCACACTGCAGCCTTCTGAACTTAATTAAATCAAATCATGAAGTGCCCAAAGATTTTGCCCCAACACATTTATGTCTATTGTCTTTCTCACATGTAATATTACCTGAACACTCGATAATATAACTCCCTTATACTTAAAAGAAAAACTTTCCTAAAAATCCCATTTTTTTACAATTTGCATTTTTATGCATCTTATTTTAATTAGATCACAAACATTTATTAAAGATTATTAGTTTGCAGAGGTTATGCCACTGTAAATTCAACTTCAACACAACCAGAAGCAGTAATAAAACAAAGTGTATTAAAATATTTTCCTCTGACTAAACTGTTTTTTTCTTATAGAGAAATATGATGAATTTGACTGAAAGCACCAGTAAAATATTAAATATTCAGTACAAAAAAAAAAAAACTAACATGAAAAATAAAACAATACTGTACAAAGATACATATACAAAAGAACCTGGCAGGTTTCCGTAGCTGTTCAATAAAGATCATAGTAACTCTTATACACAAATATACACTTGTGTAATGTAGACGCAGGGTGAAGACAGCAATGAGGGCAAAGATCGTTTTCTTCACCTTATGTAATAAAATCAATATATTTTCCAGAGATATGCCTCCAGGACTGCTCTGTCCTGATTTATAGGTTTTAATCTGAAACCATGTCTGAAAACTGGTACCATGTGTTTTTAATGTCCCTCTGGGGGGGGGAGCACCATTGTTTTGTCCTTTTTTAAATTCTAATTAGCACCATGCCACTGAAGGGCCTGTCTGGGTGGGCCAAAGCTGCCTAATCAACAGTGGCGCTTGATACCCATTTAAATCTCTTATGGTTTTAGACTCAGTACACATGTCTGCTGACATTTTGTGTGCATTCACAGTGATTCAGCCTTAGTGAGGAAGTGATGAAGGTAAATTAGTACTATCGTACCGGCTTCCATGGTTGGCGGTGCCAGGATGCAGAACCGGGACAGGGCTGCAGATTGCACTGCTCCATGTCCAGCGGTTTGTCCAGGATGTCACAGTTGTAGTCATTGAGCCTTTGTCCGGTGGGCCTTTGACAGACCACCAGGCGTGTTTTCCTCCCTCCACCACACGTCTGGGTGCACTGAGGGAAACAGCAAACAAAATATTCTTAGTAAAATTTTTGAATGGCTTTCGTTATTTTGGATTTACAAAGCCTAATAAGGACCAAGTGTGAAAATAAAATCTTGCTTAATACACTCCACTGAAAAATGCATGTGTTGTTGAGAAAATGGACTTGACTGTCTGATAACAAGCGACAGACATTTGCAGACAAAATTATTTCAACACACCTGACCAACAAATACATATGAAGCTGGTCCCTTTTTTTTTCAGATATAACAGCTTTTACTCCTCTCACAAGATTAAGCATGTTTCTGTGGGAACTTGTGCCCATTCATTCTCTTGAGCATGTATGAGACCATGACCTGATGTTGGACAAGAAGGTCTGGCTCACAATCACAGTTCCAGCTCATCCCAAAGTTTCTTAACGGGTTTGAGGTTAACACTTTGTGCGGGTCAGTCAAGTTCTACTGCACTGAACTTATCCTTTACGTTTATAAAGTCCTTGCATTGTGCAGTAGAGTAGTCATGTTAGAATAAAAAAGGGCCTTCATCAAAGTGATGCCATAAAGTAGAAATAATAAAATTGTCTGAAATGTTCTGGAAAGCTAAAACATTAAAATTGCCCATTACTGGATATAAAGGGGCCCAACTCAGACCCTGAAAACCACCCAGTATTAATATCCCATCTTCATTAAACTTCACAGTTTATAAAACAAGTTAGTCAGGCAACATTTTCCCCACATCCACTAAAGAGACACTTGTCCATCACTGACAGAGAAGTGTGTCACTCCACAGTCCATTGGCAGTGTGCTTTACACCACACCATGTTGTATTATTGTATTAGAGTGAAATGCTGCCATTTGTAGGGTCTCCATACATGCTCACATTAACAGCTTGTTTTTCTTCACTTCTGTTTCCCCGTTTAGACCTACAGTATACCAACAAGCTTGGCAATCAACTCAACCCTGCAGAACATAGACACCAACGTTGTTACAAATCCATGCATACAATTTGATAAACATCAGGTTAAAGTTAGATTTCTGCCTCTACTTTTACTTCTATACCACTTTCCTGTCGGTGTAAAAACTTGATATTTTACTGGTTTCACTAGACCTGTAAGCATTAGTTACGTGTGTGACTGCCAGCAAAGAAGAACAGCTGTATTCAGTTCAGTGCAAAATATAAAAGAGACTCACAGCTCGAATCCACATACATGACCAAGAAAATCAGAAATAAAAGGTGTGACTTTAATGAGGGCCACAGTTGTTAAGGATCAGTAGTCCTATAAGCTCACCTCTCCCCAGACACCGTAGTTCCACAGAGGACAGGGACCAGAGTCACAGTTTTTGGATTCAGCAGGTTTGACCCTCTCGTCACAGTAACTGTTGCTGCGCCCATCGGCATCCTGACAGACCACCACTCGTCTTTGAAAACCTCCGGCACAGGTACTGGAACACTAGCGAGCACACACAGTAGGTGATCAGACAACTATACTTTTAATCAGTGTATGAAGCTCTTGTTTTAAATTAAATTTAATGTTGTTTTCCTACCAGGTTTTCTGATCAAACAGTTTACTTACTGATAAAAAATGATTTTTTCACATCAAGAGCACTTTCACATAAAATCCAGCAAATACGGCACAATACTGAGCTTTTCAAGCTAAATGAGAATGATATTTACGTGATCAAACCCAGCTGCTATGCTCACAATTATTTTCCAAAGACAGGGAAGTCAGTGAATCATGCTGAAAGTTGAACTACACAGCCTTGACAAAGGTAGCTTGAAGACTCTGCATCCAATTACAATGATGCATCCCCTCTGTTGAAGGGAGTGAGAACATTCAGTCCTATCTATGTGTGTGGGAGGACAGCACAACATGAACATGAACAGTTGGGCTTCACACTTAATAGTAAGCAGGGAGGAATAATTTATTTACTTCAGAAAGAAGATGCAAATTATTACTCTCTCGCTCTCTTGAAACGTGTTATCCCATCAACCTAATTAAAAGGAAAATATTTCAGGAGTGACTCTTGTCAGTTGTCTACTAGGTTAAAAACATGTCAGTTATATGCACTGCGAGTGGACAGAGATGATGGCCTTAGTAGGAAATCTTTCACAATATGCTATCAGAAGGTAACACACAAATGTCATATTAAAAAAACCTAATGTGCTTCCATGGAAGTTGTATCAGCAAATATTTATAAATGGTAAATCACATACTGTAACAGCTCAGTAATTCAATGGCTCACCTTGTACTACAAATTATTCCCCTGTGATGCTTGTTCCCAGTGTCACTCAGCAGCTTTCACATGAACTGTTAGATCTGGATTTACATTATTTTTACAGTAAATTTTAGATCCAGTCAATATTTTCTATTGTTAAAGTTCCTTTAGCTTGGCTGCTTTTTCTTTTCTTGTTGTCTCTGAAAACATATTTGTCATTTTTGTTGTCTGTCAAACAACATACCACTCCCAAAACTCATTGCGCAACATTCCCAATGAGCATAAGTTTTCATGCTTTTTAATACGGTGAAAAAAAAAAAAAAAAAGAATAGCAGTAAGGTGCTTTAGTGCTTATGCATTGGCACCATTAATAAAAAGTGTATTTATGTTTTTTTTGTTGTTATTGCTACAAGTTTCCCACTCATAAATTGCAAAATATTAAATATCCCAACAATGCTTCAAAACACAATGCATCCTTTTCAACTCTTCCAACCAAACCAGACGTAAAGAAGTAAAAATATGTGAATTTATAGCAAACAGCAATATCATGTTTAGATTTGAAGTTCGAATAATAACAGATGAGCTTCCACTGTTCTCAAAATTTGCAACTGTTCAGATTTAATCTAGGGATAAATGCTATGCTTAGTGATAACCTGGAATTGTTTTCCTTCCACAAACCAGCACAGTGCTGAGTGTTAGCACATACAGCACATCATACAGTATGCTTTGCATGCACACGTTACCATGTATGGCCTTCCGCCCTGAGAAATGAAAACTCTCTTACCTCACCATGCAAGTTAATGTGTTTGCAAGAATGTGTTTACACACAGGCACACTGCCCACCCCAACAATACTTTCATACTATCTATGGTACATACATGGTAGTACATCACACCTCTGTCATACGATTTAAACATATATTTATTGGGGAAGCTGTGGATAAGTGGTTGGAGCAGTCGTCCTCTAATGGGAGAGTTGGGGGGTTGATTCCACCAGCAGTCATATGCTGAAGTGTCCCTGGGCAAGATACTGAACCCCTCATTGCCTCCGACGTGTGTCTCATTAAGTGTATGAATGTGATAAAGCACTGATTAGTCTTTGTACAGATCTAGTAGAGTGCTGTATGAATGGGTAAGAGGCACAGATTGTGTTGTAAAGAGCTGTGGGTATCTTGATAAAACAGAAAGGTGTTATATAAACAAGTCTCTCTTGTAAATGAGTCCTCAAGACTCAATGAGACTAACCTGTATAAATAAAGGTTGAATGAATAAGTACAGTTTCTTTATCATATATTTATTGGATGCTGGTAAAGAGTATATATTTTTACACATTTTTTTTTTCCAACAGACAAAAAATGTTTCTGGACATTGCTATTTCCTAAAACTTGTTGTGTATGCCAAACATACCGAGCCCCATGGTCCGGTCCTCCATTGGTTGTCTGCTGAGGGGACATTCCAGCTGCTGTGTCCGGGGTGACGTCCGGGATCCAGAGGATAGCCGTACGGCTGCTCATAAATGTGCTGCCGATTATAAACAGAAGGACAGGGTGCAGCAGTGCACTCCTGTTCTGTTGCAGGCCTCTCATCTGGGTCACAGAAAGATGGGTCCACTGGATGGTGATAGTTAGAACAGGTCACCTGTCTGGTAGCTTTTCCAACACCACACGTTACTGAACACTGAGGTATAGAAAAGACAAATAACACATTACAAACAGAGCAGAAAGAAGAAAAAAAAAGCACTGCCTATTGTCATGATCTCCTCTTTCTGCCACGCTCACCTCTCCATTGCAATCAGCGCTCATGCCCTGCAGCTGCTGACCTCTCTGTATAAGAGCTCCTTCCTCGCAAGATCTCTGCCAGATTATGGAACACTTTTTGGTCCAGCACCTCGTTTATGTCCATGCCTGATCTTCATGTCTCAACCTCACACCTGTCTCTTGGGGCGGCTGTGGCTGAGTGGGGGGGCGGCTGTGGCTGAGTGGTTAGAGCAGTCATCCTCCAATGCGAGACTGGGGGGTTCGAATCCACCAGCAGTCACATGCTTAAGTGTCACTGGGCAAGACACTGAACCTCTATAGCCTCTGATGTGTGTCCCATCAGTGTATGAATGTGATCTAAAGCACTGATTAGTCTCTTTAGAAGGATTTGTTCAATTAGCTTTGTAGAGATCTAGTAGAGTGCTGTGTGAATGGGTAAATGAGGGCACAGATTGCAGTGTAAAGCGCTTTGAGTATTTTGAAATAAGATAGAAAGGCGCTATATAAGTACAGTCCATTTACCATTTACCATTTAGATTCGCCACCCTGCCTGCTCCACATCTGGTTTATTCTGCTTTTCTGACCTTGGTAACTACGACCCTTTTTTGCTCTATGGATTTTGGATTACGAATTCCCCTCTGGATTTGTTCTCGGACTGCCTCCCTGTGTTCGACCCCTGCTTCACTTTTCAGACCACAACTAAAGTTTGCCCCACTGTTGGAACAATTCACAGCATTAAAGGCCTCCCTATGCACCTGCTCCACCACCACTTAAGGCGATGTTAATACCATCACTGATGCCATCTTCTCAAGCTCTGAAATCACCTCACCACATCTGCCTGACAAGGTTAGTGGCTGTTTTCTGCCTTCAAGCACATTTACTGAAACCTACTGCCCACTAACTGTGTCGTCTCTGCAGACCTGTTACTGTGATTGGACCCAGACTCCCACCAGCAGCTTCAAAACAATAAAATTGTTTAAAAGTTCTTGTTGTTTGGCTCAACTGTTGAATCCAAAACCAGGTTCGTGTCAGTTATATCTTGATCTCCGCTCTCTGAAACCTGCCACGCCCCCTTCTCCGCCGCAATGAGCACTCATACCATGCACCTGCCCACTCTATATAAAAGCTCCTTCCTTGCAAGATCTCTGCCAGATTATACTGACAAGAACCAGCCAGACAACAAGAATGTTTAAACAATTTTATTGTTTTGAAGCTGCTGGTGGGAGTCTGGGTCAAATCACGGTAACAGGTCTGCAAAGAAAACATAGTTAGTGGGCTGTAGGTTTCAAGAAATGTGTTTGAAGGCAGAAAACAGCCCCTAACCTCCTCAGGCAGGTGTGGTGAGGTGTAGCGCCACCATTTAGAGCTTGAGGAAAAGGCGTCAGTGATGGCATTGACGTTGCCGTAAGTGGTGGCAGAGCAGGTGCAGAGGGAGGCCTTTAATGCTGAGAATTGTTCCAACAGCGGGGCAAACGTTTGTCGTGGTCCGAAAAGCAACACAGGGGTCAAACACGGGGAGGCAGAGGTCCGAGAACATATCCAGAGGGGAATTCTTAATCCAACGTCCATAAAGCAAAAAAGGGTTGTAGTTATCAGGGTCAGAAAGACAGAATAAACCAGATGTGGAGCAGGTAGGGCGGCAAATCCAAGAGACAGGTGTGAGGTCGAGACATGAAGATCAGGCATGGACATGAACGAGGTGTTGGACATATAATACCAAAAAGTGTTCCATAGTCTGGCAGAGATCGTGCAAGGAATGAGCTCTTATATAGTGTGGTCAGCAGGTGAAGGGCATGAGCGCTGATTGCAGCAGTGAAGTGGGCGTGGCAGGTGGCAGAGACCGGAGCTCATGACACCTTTAGTTTATTTTCTTTAACTTACTAACACCTCTTGTAACTGAAACTGATATTTATTGATTGGTAACAAAAGTTATTACATTTTCATTATTTATACTCATATTGTTAGATTGTTTTTACTCCTAACTTTTAAAATGTTTGTCATCCCAAAAACTTGAGTTCACTGATCATCCTGAGATTTTCATACTTGTGTTATTAAGTGATACGTTATATGTCATAAATGTCATGTATGCTGTTTGTTAGATGTTATATTTTTGGCTTATTTATTCATTAGTTTTGTATAATTACAGTACTTACAAGACTTCAAGCAGATTTGACCATTTTCAAGTACTACCTTTTGTTATGATTATTCTTTACAAAGACTCCCCTGAAAATAATGTCTTACAGTTTTATTGGCTGCCTGAAATCATTAAACCCTTTGACTGGGCAGTTAACTCAATAGCTTGTGTTTAGTGTGTGTTCAACATATTAAATTTCTAGCTTGTACTCCTTGACCCATTAAACTTGGAGTTATTTTCCTTTTATTATCTGGTCCTTTTTTTCCTTTAACAAGATTTTTGTAGGATGTTTTCCAGGTTCTAAAGTCTGGCCAATATTAACGGAGTGGTGCTTCTAATGAATGTTCCCATGAACTTCAACAACAAGGAGGGAAATCAACTCTAATTTGACAAATTAAAGCTTAATGGACTCAAAAGTTTTCCTCAAGGAGTTCATTTGGCTTTTTATGGACTAATGACAAAAAAAAAAACACTTTAAATGAACACAGGATTAAAAATCAGACGATATTTTTTTTAACCAATGGCCCTATAAAGAACGCATAAAAAGCTTTTGAAAAGAAACAAAGACTTTAATATAACACTGTGGTTTATGGTTATTTTAACACATTAATGATGATGAGATCATATTTCTCCAGTTTTAGCTTCTCTCCCTTCAAATTCAGAATAGAATCATACTTTTAACCTACAAAGCTCTCAACAACCTAGTTCCATCTTATATTAAAGATTTTTTTTTTCATTTAGTCTTTATTTATACAGGTAGTCTCATTGAGCCACGACAACTCATTTATTGATTGTTCCATATTTTCCTAACAGAGCACTTCACTCTCAGACTGCAGGTTTACTTGTGGTTTCCAAAATCAGAATGGGAGGAAGATCTTTCAGTTATCAGGCTCCTCTCTTGTGGAACCAACTTCCAGTTTCTGTCTATAAGGCTGACACATTGTCCAGTTTTATGACTGGGCTTAAGACTTTCCTTTTTGAAAAATCCTATAGTTAGGGTTGACTTGGGTTTCCTGAGTTATCCCGTAGTTATGCTGCTATATAACAGACTGCTGGAGGACAAACTGACCACATTTCTTCACGCTGCTTCTGTCTTTACTTGATCTACTCTACCTCATTGTATTTGTAATTATTTCTATCTTAACATGTTTTTTTGTCTTTCCTCCTATAGAAAGTACATCTAGACCAGTCATTCTGTGTTCATTTGTTTCTCTTTCCTGTCTTTTCAAACCAGCCGGTCGAAGCAGATGGCTGCTCATCCTGAGCCTGGTTCTGCTGGAGGTTTATTTCTATTAAAAGGGAGTTTTCTTTTCCAATGTTGACTTTGTCCTTGCTCAGGATGAGATACTGACGAAGTGAAGATTCAACACAATCTGCTGCTTCCTTTGATGGAGAACTTTTACTAATTGGTTTTTATAATGTATGTGAATGTTTCTGTTCAGTGTCTTTAGACAAATTCTCTTGTGACTTGGCGCCAAATAAATAAATAAATAAACTGACTTGTAAGAAAAATGAAGCACATGATTATCATGTCACCAAGCAAAGGATCTAGATGTTTAACTCACAGTAGACCACTCTCTGGGATGCCACTGGCCACAGGGGCTGAAGCAGGTGGAGAACTCTGGAGGGCGGGGCAGATGGGTGCAGTATGACTCGTCAGCCACGCCTCCCTGAGCATCTCTGCAGCTGACATAACGTGCCCGCTTCCCTTTGCCACAGGACACCGAGCACTGGTGAACAAGCAGATGAAACTAATCTTGAAGTGGATGGTTTTCTCTTCTTTAACATGTACACAGACAGCCGCACATGAAAATATGACACACCTTTTACTGTGGCTGTCGTTTCAAATTAAATTAAAAAACAATTTAGGAAAGTGTTGTTTTACAATGGTTTCAGTAGGCAGGGAAAAGTAGGCAAAAATTGACACCATAGAAATGTTTATGATATTATGATTCAAACTATTTTAGAAGAAATAATATCAAAATCCAGTCCATTAAATTGTAGATTTTTATCAACTACAATTTTTACTGGGACTCAAATAAATAGGTTGTTATCAGGTCACTTAACAGATTTTAAACACTTTAAACATAAACATGTTTAGCAGTAAGCTAAAATACAGTATCTTAATGTCTTTCATCCATCAGGTCAGTCAACCAAGATTCATATTTGTTCTATTTATCTCTTTTAGTTATACAAGGGAGTGGTGGTGCAGTGGTTAGAGAAGGTGGGCCTGTGATCGGAAGATCGCCGATTCAACTCGCAGGACCGACAACATCAAAATGTGGGTGGGATAGGTGAAACAACCACACCTGTCTCCACCCTCATTTGCCCCACTCTGGGCCCTTGAGCAAGGCCCTTAACCCCCACCATCTGCTCCCCAGATGCCCCAGATAGCAGCTCTCTGCTCCATACAGAGGGTTGTGATAGGAAGGGCATCCGGCCTAAAAACAATTGCCAAGTCTTTGTGTGACTTTGTGGTGACCCCTGAAGAAGGGAGCAGCCGAAAAAAGACAGCAAAAGTACAACACACAATGAAATGAATCACAACCACTCTTACAAAGCTTGTACAGATAAAAGGGGATTCGAAATAATCATAGGAAAGGAATAAGACAGAATTAAGTTGACATTTATAAAGTTAGTTAGTGTGCAAATTATTTGGGAATACATGAACCAAAACAATGTTGTTGATAATGCCATATTCATCCATCCATCCATTATCTTTACCCGCTTATTCCTTTTCAGGTTGCGGGGGTCACTGGTGCCCATATCCAGCAGTCACTGTGTGAGAGGCAGGGGACACCATGGACAGGTATCCAGTCCATCACAGGGACACATAGAGACAAATGAGACAAACAACCATTCACTCTCTCACTCACACCTAGAGACAATTTAGAGTTACCAGTCAGTCTAACATGCATGTTTTTGGACTGTGGGAGGAAACTGGAGCACCCGGAGAAAACCCACGCATGCACGGAGAGAACATGCAAACTCCACCCAGGAAGGCCGGGATTTGAACTGGGGTAACCTGCTCACTGAGAGGCGGCAGCTCTATCAACTGCACCACCTTTCTGCCCAATATTCATTCTAATTTTCTAAATATTATTAATTATTACATTAATAGAAAAAGGTTCAAAATGCCATCCTGTTAAAAAATATCTTAAAATTTTCCATCTCAGCTCAGACACATAGTTGATTGTTTCTGAATGTTTATGTCTTTGGAGAATGTTTCTGTTTCATAATGAAGCTCCTGAGAGATTCTTGGTTTATGAACAAAGCTGATTGTTGTTGCAATCCTAGTTCTTTTCTGAAAGCGATTCAGTATTAATGTAGCATGTCTTACTAAGATGCTTGTTGAGTCACTTTTCAGTGATAATTTCAGACTTTTCTGAATTCTTGCAATAAAAAAAAACCAGAAAACTTTGTGTGAACAAATTGCAAAATGATTAATGTCACACATTGTTTTGATCACAAAAGAAAGAAGAGAACCAAACACAAGTTCATTCTAACAACGTTGAGTCAGGTCCACCGAACAGAGAAGAGCCAGTCCAGAGGACCTGACTTAACCTTGTTAGATTAATCTACCTGGATTATTGAGGATGCATCAGGACAAACACACGTTAAGTTCTAACATGAGGCAGAATGGAAACAATGCAACCATTCAAAAACATTCTAAAAAATATCCTTTGCTTGTATCATACGAGTGTATTTCTGCCACTGCAGGAGAGCATTACAGTAGTCCCTCGTTTATCGCGGGGGATCTGTATCCTGAAGCCCCACGATAAGTGAAAAACTGCAAAGTAATAATAATAATAATAATCATTTTATTTAAAAAGCACCTTTCATGACACCCAAGGACACTTTACAGTAAGAACAAAGATCAACAGGAATAAATTACATAAAGAATATAAAACACATGGGCAGCACGGTGGCGCAACTGGTAGAGCTGCTGCCTTTCAGCGAGCAGGTCCTTGGTTCAAATCCCGGTCCAGGGGCCTTTCTGGGTGGAGTTTGCATGTTCTCTTCGTGCATGCATGGGTTTCCTCCGGGTGCTCCGGTTTCCTCCCACAGACCAAAAACATGCATGTTAGGCTGATTGGTAACTCTAAATTGTCCCTAGGTGTGAGTGAGAGAGTGAATGGTTGTTTGTGTCGTTTGTCTCTATGTGTCCCTGTGATGGACTTGCGACCCGTCCACGGTGTACCCCGCCCCTCGCACAGTGATTGCTGGACATGGGCACCAGCGACCCCCGTGACACAAAATGGAATAAGCGGGTAAAAGATAATGGATGGATGGATATAAAATACATAAAGAATATAAAATACATACAGAATATAAAATGCATAAAGAATATACAATACATAAAGAATATAAAATACATACAGCAAAGTTAAGGATAAGCGAGTCTAAAGAGATGTGTTTTCAGAGCAGTCTTGAATATAGAAAGAGAGGTGGTGTTTCTTAAGTCAGGGGGTAGAGAGTTCCAGAGATGAGAGGCAGAGCAGGTGAAGGCCCTGCTCCCCATGGTGGAGAGGCAGGGAGAGGGTACATGGAGGTGTAGTGAAGAGGAGGATCTGAGAGAGCGAGAAGGGATGGAGATGTGTAGGAGGTCAGATAGGTACGGAGGGGCAAGGTTGTGGATAGCTTTGAAAGTGACAAGAAGAATTTTGAAGACGATGTGTGATTTAACCAGGAGCCAGTGGAGCTGCTGCAGGACTGGAGTGATGTGGTTATAGGAGGAGGTTTGAGTTATGACACGGGCAGCTGAGTTCTGGACCAATTGTAGCTTCTGGAGAGATTTGTTGGGGAGGCCATAAAGAAGGGAGTTGCAGTAGTCAATCCGATAAGTCACAAGACTGTGCACAAGGATGGCTGTGGAGCGGGGTGTGAGAGAAGGGCGGAGACGGTTAATATTTCGGAGATGGAAATAGGCAGACCGAGTGACGTTGTTGATGTGTGAAGTGAAGGAGAGAGTGGTGTTGAGGATGACACCAAGACTCTTGACCTGAGGCAAGGGGGATAGCAGAGAGTTGTTAAGGGGGATGAGAATATTTTCTGATTTTGAAAGAGAGTTTTTGGTACCAACAAGAATGATTTCTGTTTTGTTACTGTTTAGTTGTAGGAAGTTGTTAAAAAAACAGTGATTTAGCTCATTAAGACAGTCGGTGAGGATGGAGGGTGGGTGGGTGGAGTTTGGTTTTGTTGACAGGTAGAGCTGTGTGTCATCAGCATAACAGTGAAAATGGACACCAAATTTGCAGAAGATGTGACCTAGAGGAAGGAGGTAAATGATGAAGAGGAGGGATCCGAGGACAGAGCCTTGGGGGGCACCCGTGGAGACGGGGGAAGACTGGGAACGAAAGGATTTGAGCTGAATGAATTGAGTGCGGTCAGAGAGATAAGATTTGAACCAGTCTAACGGAGTACCTGAGATGCCAATGGAGGTTAATCTGTTGAGGAGGATAGAATGTCAGATTGTGTCGAAGGCAGAACTTAGATCCAGTAGAATGAGGATAGACAGAAGAGCAGAGTTAAGATTTGAACCAGTCTAATGGAGTACCTGAGATGCCAATGGAGGTTAATCTGTTGAGGAGGATAGAATGTCAGATTGTGTCGAAGGCAGAACTTAGATCCAGTAAAATGAGGATAGACAGAAGAGCAGAGTCAGCAGCAAGAATAAGGTCATTAGTTATTTTTATTAGAGCTGTTTCGGTGCTATGGTGGGGGCGAAAACCAGATTGAAACTCTTCATAAATGTTATTGTTGGATAGGTGAGAGTGAAGTTGACTAGCAACGGCTTTTTCAAGAACTTTGGAAATAAAGGGCAGATTAGAGATCGGACGAAGATTACTGAAGTTGGTAAAGTCAAGACCTGGTTTCTTGATGATGGGGGTGATGGCAGCAGATTTGAAAGCTGTGGGAACAATGCCAGAGGTTAGGGAGAAGTGGATGATGTTAGTGATGATGGGGAGCAGAGACGGGAGACAGGATTTAACAAGAACTGTGGGAAATGGATCGAGCTGACAGGATGAGGACTTAGACTTGCTGA